TCAGGAGTGTAACACATAGGTAATATGAAAAACAGACAAGAACTTCTGAAAAAGTAACAATCTACAATTAAATTTTAGTAGTAAAATTAATGCAAATATGAAATAAAAATGGTGTCTCAGCCAAGATTCTTGTTAAGCTGAGTGCTAAGACAGATAATTTGTCCATAAATTTTTGGGTTTTTTTTTAAAACTGCCTGGTTTCCTGTATCCAGTTACACCGGCCCTTAACTTGAAATACTCCACTTGTGCCCTAAAGCACGTGGGCCCTTTGTGGAAGTTTGAGAAAGAAAATTCAGGAGTGTAACACATAGGTAATATGAAAAACAAACAGACAAGGGCTTCTGAAAAAGTAACAATCTACAACTAAAATTTTAGTAATAAAATTCATGCAAATATGAAAATAAAAATGGTGTCTCAGCCAAGATTCCTGTTAAAGCCCTCACCAAGCCAGACCAGCACAGGTCTCAGATTCCTGCAAGTTTCATTCCCTCACACATCATAAATAAAATCATTTCAGCATCCATAAAATGATTTGTCCAACAAGGATTTTAATGGCAATTGTCAAGGCTGGCATTTTACCAACACCTCTTTGGGAAGCACTTAGATAATTTAATCAAGTAAAGAAGGTCAAGAAACCTAAAGAATGAAGAACTCTGAGATGGATTTTATTGAATATCTGTGAAGTCTGAGAATTTCCACAAATACTTGACAAAAATGGCTTTGCTTGATGGGCTGAACCTGAACCACCAGACCATCAGCCATTTTCCATGCAGATACTCTGGAACCTCATTCTTTTCAATCCATTGCCCAAACAGAATGATAAAAATTATTCAAATCCCATTTCCTGACCTCCTTCCTGTCTCACTCTTACAAACCCCAAAGGATGAACTTTCCCCCATGCTCATTTTCATGAGCACCCTGCAGGTTATGGAATTCAATGCAATTCCACAGGCCTATAACAATCTGACCTACATTTCACTCAGTTTTAAATAAATGCCTTCAGAACTCTCAACCAGAGCCCAAAATTGCCAAGATTTGTGCTGCAGGCAGTGCACTGCACACCCAGTTTTTGGGTATGAAGAGAAATTTTAAATATGTGCTCTGTGAAGGTCCTTACCTCCAAAAGAAAATCCAAACAATATCCAGTGGATGTTTTACTGCATATTCTTCCCTATTTCACATTTCAACTTGCTATGGATGAAAGTAAAGAAAACGGTGGGAATTTAAAAGATAAAAACCAAACCTTTTTGGATCCATGCATTCACTGAGATTCACCATCCTTGGCCCCATGCTTCCCTTTTGGTTCTTCTCCCATCCAACAGCTTTTGGACAATCTGTTTGAAATATTCAAAACACAAAAAAAAGAAAATTAAAAACCCAAAAAAAACAACAAAAACAAAACCAAAAAAAAAAAGGAAAGAAAAAGGAAAGAAAGAATAAAAACCTTAATATCCTAGGACAGAAAAAAAGAAATTTTTTTGGACTTAACCCTGTCAGAAAAACCCTTATTTTAAAGCTGCCAGTAAATCTCCTGTAGTTTAATTTGCTCTCAGGTGTCCCCTGTGCTGCTTTTGCCTGTTCAGCTTCAAACCCAGCACAGAGCTGGCATCATTCCCCCTCAGATCTTTAATGCCAAGCTCAGTAAATTCATAATTCAGTCAATTTTACTAATTTCAGTCATCATTTCATGGTCCCTAGACCTCATCTGTAAATTCAGTGGAGAATTATGTATCTTAATTATATAGAATGAAATAATTTGCAACAATGACATCTGAAGGATTCAGAACTTTTTGCCTGAGATAGAGAAATTTGGTGATGCTGTCCTGTACCTAGAAATTGAACATGAGATTATTTTTTAATATTTTAAGTTTACTACTTTAAAATACACCTGGATGTATCACTATGGGATTAAAGGAACAGTTCCATTCTGGGGCAGATTTTTATAATTTTAGAAATTCNACATACATAAATAACATACATAAATAAATAACATACATAAATCCATAAATCTCCCTGTGGATAAAAAGAACCAGGCCCATCTAGCAGCTTGGAGAAATGCCTGTGGGTAACAGCTGCATTAACCATACCAAAGGATCCACCTCTTTTTCCCCTCTGTACCATCACCACAGACATCAGGAAATTTTTGGGCAGGCTTTAATTTCAGTGTCATTATCTCCTCCAAAATTCCTGGTAGGAATACAGAACTTAATCCATGTTGTGTATGAATAAAGTGTTCATGGATAACCCATCCAGCCTGTGCTGCTGAAATGCTGATTGATTAGATCAGCTCAATTCACACTGCTGGTGACTTAGGAAGGCAATTATTTGTTTAATAAATTAAATAAGTAAGCAGGAATTGACTGCACCACAAAATGGTCAATGTGGTTTGTAAATACTAAAATCCTACCAGAATTCCAAAAAAAAAGCTCAATCCAGGCATTGCAGCTGAAGGAATACAGACAAGCCTGGCAGCTCCAACAATTTTATTTGAATAACTGTCCCTCAGAACAAAGACAGCAGTCACCAGCCAAAGAGGCTGAGGTGCATTTGGCAGCCAAACAATGGCAAAAAGAGCTCAAAGAGCACATTGGCATTATTTGAAAGAGGAGTAAGTGTCTATACATATCCCCAAAGAAAGATCTTGCTCATTCCACAGAGTCCCAAAATCTCAGGAATCTAAGAAAAGTTTTAAAATGCCCCCAAATTATCCAAAATATTTAGTTAGCATCTCATAAAATATTAGAATGACATCTAGAAAAGGGGGCTGTATGTTGTTCTCTTCGCTGGCAGTTAAAAACCAAGCTATAGCTTCTAATATAGAAAATCAATTTAGAGATGATTGCAAATTTGGGGTTTGAAAAATAATAGGAAATCTCAAAAATACATTTATTTCTTCCCTCAGGACCTGCTCCCAGAGCAGACAATTAATAAATCTGACCTGGCATTACTCAAAGCTCCTTAGGACACCCTAGACAGGAAAAAATGTCACTTTAATATCAACAAGCTAAAAAATTACTTAATGATCCTTAATTATATTTCAGTACTACAAATATTTACTGTCACCTTGTTCTTCTAAAGTTCTCCTCAGCCTTCTGATGTTCACATTTTTGTAATGGACTTTTCATGTAAATAATGATTGGTTTGCATTACTTTCTGGAGGAGGAGAATTGATGGACTGTTGGTTTGACCAGTGTGGTTGGAGAGGTGGCAATTTCATCCTCCAATCCATAATCCCTTTTGGAATTCTATAAATATTGAGGTCCAGAAATAAACTAGTTTTATTTATTTATTATTTTATTTATTTATTATTTATATTTATTATATTTATTATTTATTTATATATTTTATATTATATTTATTATTATATTCATTATTTATATTTATTTATTATAATTTTATTTATTTATTATTATTTGCCTTGGACATCTCAGCGTGTGAGTGCCGTTCATTTCATGTCATATTGTGACAATTTACCTCAACAAAGTTACCAGGAACAGAAATTTGAAGTAAAATATTTTAGTAACCAACTGAAATATTTCAGTAATCAACTGAAATATTTCAGTAACCAACTAAGATATTTCAATAACCAACTAAGATATTTCAGTAACCACCTATAATATTTCATAACACCTGCAAAGTGTTTTTAACGTTTAACTACTACAACTTGGAATAGCAATTNTGCCGGTGTGGAAGAGCTCGGTGGAATTCCCGGCTGGCCGCGGCATCCCGGGCCCGCTGCTGCCCCGCCAGGTGTCCCTGCTGTCCCACGGAGCGCTCCGGGAGCTGAAAACCAGCACATCTCAATCCCTGCACACTTTTGTCAGAGATACATAGTATAATACTGGCTTTTCGCAAGTGTTAAAATGGATTTTGTATGTGCGGTGTTAAAGTAACGTTGTTATAAAGATACAGTTTTTATTTCTGTTGTTAAATAAGCTCAGTGAAATAGCTGATGTAAGTGTGCCTAAAAAACCTGCTTGGATGGGATAACATCCAATGAACACCTGCACAGATCTGCCAACTGTCAGCACTCACCTTCTGAAGAAAATATGAACCATATTTTGGATCAAAATATGGAGAGTTACGGACCAAAGCCCATAACTGGAGTGAAATAGGGGTCTCCTGCAGCCAGGTCTCACAAGCTCTTGGAGATCTGTTTCACACCCAAGATAGCTCAGCTGCCTCAGAAGGCATAAAATCAGCAGGATGGCTCCTGTGGTAGTGCTGGAAACAAAAAGTTTTGATAAAAGGCAAAATAACAAAACTCTACAGAGAAAAATCAGGTGCAAGAGGTTCTTGCCCCTGGCAAAACACCTCACAAAAGCCATTAGTTTCTTTGTTCTCTTCTTTTTCTAGTAAATTGCTCTTGGGACTTTTTGGCTCCAGTCCACTTGGCCATCCTTAAGTTGAGGGGAAGCCCCCCAGGTCCTATGGGATGCCTTTTTCACTAATTGAGGAGAGAAACTCCTGAGCTTTTTTTCTTTTTGAGGTGACAAACGATAGTTTTGTCACTCCGTCAAAGGGCACATTCCTATACTGGGTGTGATAAGAACGGACCTAAACCACAGCCAAGGAGTGTGCATGCTCTAGAAAGGTGGAACCGAGGAGGAGCCATGCTAAACAGTTCTTGGAACATGTAAATTAGTTTGGGGGAAAGTTTATAAATAATTTTTTGTGAATAGGTAACAGGCTGATGGAATAGAAATAGTAAATAAAGGGTGTTTCCAAAATAGCAGGTGTGCTCCTGACTGAGTGCCACGATGCACCCAGCCATAATAACCTTTGCTCCATGCTCCTATTGTCCTTTATTAAACTTTTTAAATTTTCACATGTGAAAAATGCGTATTTTATGATTGGCTTTTTGCAAATATTAAAATGAATATTATATGTGTTATGTTGGAGAGTTATGCTGTATTAATTTTCTTAAGTAGTGTGTTAAATACAGTTTCAGGTTATAACATAAGATTAAAATAGAAACTATGCTATGTAGGATACTTGTTTTAAAGAGAGGAATGAGGTACTCCCACTGAGACAGCAGCCACAGGAGACCTAAATCTTTCAGAGAAAGAGAATGTATTGCTCTCCTATCAGAAAAAACGAACTTCTTCCTGCCTCACTCAGTCCTGAAAAGGCCATCTGGATTCAGAGGGAGAAGTTGGCACTGCCCAGACAGAATCCTGTGTTTGAATGGAATTTATGCATCATGTATGAGATGTATGAATATGCAACAGGTTATTGTATTTAAGGGTTAATCCTCCGTTAATGTCTGTGTTTTTTGGGCTTATTTTGCACAGAAAAAGGTACCTGGATGTCTGTAACTCTTTGTTTCTATTGTCTCATATTGTCCTAATCCAAATTGTCCAAAATTTTTATTACTCTAATTATATTGCTATTTTTATAATCATTTTATTACTATTAAACTTTTCAAATTTTAGAAACAAGTGATTGGTGTTTTTCACACACAGGAGAGTGAACATGTTTTTCACAAGAAATCCCCAGACTCTCGTTGCGCTCTCTGAAGCTCTGTGTCCTCTGACCTTGGCTGTCAAATGGAAAACACTGAAAGCATTTTACGGGAAACCACTCCTGAAATATTCTCTTGAGCCTTGTCCCACGTTGGTGGGAGGTTTCTCCATTTCTTACCATAATTTGCTTTCCTCTGCTTCCCTCACATCCAGAGCCACTGGAACTGCCTGCTCAGTGAAACTCAAAAGTTTTCTTAGGTAATTGCTATTTAAAATATGCACTGTCCCATTTCCCTGTTTATTGTTATCTAATAGCTATAAAATTGGTTATCACAAAACCCCTGTCTTTGCTGTTAACACAGCTACACAAAGGTCATGGGTAAAATGGCTTGAAATTAAAAAAAAAAAAAAAAAAGTTCAGTTTTATTTTCCTGGGTTTAGCTGTTTGAATGTTCTTTATTTTTTACCAAACATTTTTGTTGTTACAGTCACCACCATTTTTAGACCAATTTTCAATGGTCTTGCTGAGGTTTTGTCATGTATTAGTACATTTTAAGGTCAGAAAAGGCAATTTTCATGAGCAACAGGACAGATTTCCTGATAACTCTCAGCAGCCCTTAGGTAAATGTGGTTTTCAGCACTAATAACTGTGGCTAACTTTTATTTCCTCAGGGATCATCTAAATTACCATCCATTCTGGCCAGAATTGCTGTTGCAAATCAGAATAGGAAAAAAAACAATTTAATGGCTGTGAACCTCAGCAATTGTTTGTGGAAGGCCAGGGATTAGAGAATGTGTTTCAAAAGGTTCTGTTCTCTGCTCCAAAAAGGTGCATTTCACTTCTTGTGCAGGTGTTCCTCCTGCAGTGCAAAAGTTGTCTGAATTCTGCAATGAATTTTGTTGGTTTTATGTTTTCTCTCTGCATTTTGCCTTATTTGTCCTAGATTTAAGATTCCTAATTGCAATTTTTCCTGTGTGCAACTTGAAACCAAAGTCAGTTAATCTCTGAACCTTGCATGATGCACTGATACAGCCTGAATTTAGGTTTATTCCTTTAGCACATTTCCCCAATGTATTAAAATGCAGACATATTAGAGCTTCATTTAATATTGAATCCTTTAAATGCAATTCAGAAACTGTTCAGAATGTGGGAAATTCAGCAGCATAACAAAATGAATGAGAGGAATTCCTTTTTTCTTTGAAACATCAAAGCCAGCCCAGCTTTCAGTTGTGCTTCAACATCTTCTTGGTGTCTTTTCCAATACTGAGTTTTAATTATTGTGTTTTTCTCCTGAAATATTTGACAGCAAGATTTATGAAATACAATTAAATACAAAGGGTAGAAAAGGGAAACATATTTCATGTATAATCAGCTATATTCTGCAAGTCTAGGAACAGCAGCACACCCTTCTGGAACAGATGATGATAGTATATTGAGCATGGAAACTCTTTTGGGACATAAAAAATCTACTTTTTTTTCCAGCAAAGGTAATGTACAGTTAATATAAGCATTATATCAAAGAGATACAGTGGGATACACACGAAAACTTGACATTTGATGAAAAGTTTGTGCTTTGGGGGAAGATGTAAATAAATAGGGGAGTTTTTTTAAACAGATGCAAGTTCTTTCTTTGACTGTGCAAAGTACCTCCACTTGCAAATCTCATTTCACAAGCAATGCGTTTCATGGAGTAAGTTGAAAGAAAAAAATGTTTTTGGCCAATGACAGAAATGTGATTTCTTCCTTTTCTGTAGCTGACTAATTTATAATCACTGAAGAGGTTTCTGTGAAGGAAGTGGTGGTTTCAAGCGGTGAAAGGTTGACAACAGTGTAACAGTTCATGTACTGACCTTGAGGTTTTCAGATTCTTGACCTAAAGTTGCTCTTTAAATGTGTTAAGACTATTAAATGCACATTTCCCACTTTTAGAGATTACAGTTTGCCAAAGTCTTTCACTGTTAATGGGGAACCCATGCTTTGGAACCAGAACATTTTGTTTGGTCGAAATCCTGAGCTGCACTTTAGCTCCAAAACCCCAGACCAGCATCAATGAATGTGAAGGATCTTTTTAAAAGTCTTTTTGAAATTCTGGTTGCAGAGAGGGTAGAGGAACGGGTTCAAGGTGGAGTTGATGTAGCCCAGCCATATGGTGGCCCTGTGCAGCTCTGAGAGCTGCTTGTGGTCGTGGAAGGTTATCACCATGAAGAGCACGAAGTAGGGGATCCAGCAGAGCATGAAGGCTGCCATGATCACCCCCAGCTGCCTGGCTGCCTTCCTCTCCCTGTTCCCGTGCCACTGGATGCTCCTGGAGCGCCCGTGCAGGGTGTGCCAGGTTTTCCTCAGGAATGCCATTCCCCTCGAGTCCCTGCGCTCCGTCCTCCCCTGAGGACAGCAGGCTCCTCTGGGGCTGGGCTCTGCCACCTCAGTGAAGGTGTGGTGGTCTGAGGCCCCGCTGGAGTCACTGTCCTGGCAGCCAGGCTGCTCCTCATTCCCAGGGTTTTCCGTGGCACACACTCTCCTCTTCCCCGCTTTATCCACGCCAGGCTCAGCCTTGGCTGTGCTGAGAGAGAAGCAGCTCCAGTTCAGGACTTTCCCATTACTCAGGGCCTTTGAAGCTCCGTCAGGATGGCTGAAACAAAGCTCTGCCTCCACTTTATGGGGCTCTGGAGAGTTTTTCTTTTCTGCACCGGGGGTGTTCCCACCTATGACTTGCTCCTGGAGGCAGATATTTTTCTCATCCTTCGTCTTGGTCTGAGGAGTGGTGGTTTTTTCCACGGAGGACCAGTAGGAGCCATTGCTGAGCTCTCTGTGCTGGCAGTGCTTTCGAACAGTGCAGAAGATTCTGCAGTAGAACCACAGCATCAGCAGTGAGGGCAGGTAGAAGTTAAAGATGGCCGCCAGCACTTTGAACCAGGTCACCGTGAAGAACTCCGTCTCACACTTGTTCCCCTGCACCTTCCTGTGCCCGTTGTTGGCAAAGACGTGCCAGCCCAGGATGGGGATGAGCCAGGTGAAGGAGAGCAGCCAGACCCCCAGGATGAGCAGCGAGGCCCTCATCTTGGTGCGGTACTTGAGGTACCGGAGCGGCTGCTGCACCGAGCGGTACCGGTCCATGCACAGGATGAAGAGGTTGAAAATGGAGGCCGTGCTGGCCACGTAATCCATGGAGAGCCAGAACAAGCAGGCTGCCAGCCCCAGGGGCCACCGGGAGCTCAGCAGGTCCACGATGTTGAGGGGCATGACGGCCGCCCCCACGATCAGGTCGGCGATGGAGAGGCTCACGATGTATAAATTGCCCACGGTCTGCAGCTTCTTCTCCGTCCTCACGGCACACAGCACCAGGATGTTCATGACAATGGTGATCAGGGAGATGCTGCCCAGGAACAGGCCTAGGAGGGCTCGGGGAGCGCTGCTGGGGGCCTCTGTTGTGTTGTTGGACATCTTTTTGGTGAGGGAGAAGCAGAGTGGGTGTCCAGGCCTTGGGCGTTCAGTCATGGTTTGCACTCCTGGCTGAAAACGTGTTGGGCTGCTTGGGGATTTTTATTTCCACAACTAGAGGAAAGGAAAAAAAACAACTCAGTCACTGCAGTAATAAGATAATAAAGCTAATTTGTGCCTCAGCTTAGCACTGTCCCTTTTAGGGCTTTCCTAAAAACCAAATTTTTAAGACATTTTACATATTGAGTTTGCTGTGTCCCTAGGATGAGGTGAAAGATGAGGAATCTGACTCCATGTTCTCAGAAGGCCAATTTATTATTATATGTTATTTCTAATATATTAAAGAAATGCTATACTAAAACTATACTAAAGAATAGAGAAAGGATACAGACAGAGGGCTACAAAGAATGATGATGAAAACTCATGACTCTTTCCAGAGTCTGACACAGCCAGACAGTGATTGGTCATTAAGTCAAAACAATTCACATTAAACCAATCTAACAATCACTTGTTTGATAAACAATCTCCAACCGCATTCCAAAGCAGCAAAATACAGGAGAAGCAATTGAGATAATAATTGTTTTTTTTTTTTTTTTCTCTGAAGATTCTCAGCTTCCCAGGAGAAGAAATCCTGGCAAAGGGATTTTTCAGAAAATATGACAGTGACATTTACATACAAGTGATTTGTGTTCTAGGAAACCCCACTAACAATCCCAAACAGTTTTCATAGAGTTTCATCTCTTCTGATCCCTCAATCTGAAGAAGAAATTTAATTCCTCACAGTTTTAATTCATCATATCTCATTAAACAGCTGATTGTGAACTGTAACATAAGCTCCATACTGGCAAGCCAATTAAAAATATGCTAGTAAAAAGCAATATTTACATATTCTGTACTAAATAATTTAAACAAGCCAGTGCTTATTTACAGCCTCCAACAATTTGGGAATCCAGCAGTTGGCAGTCAGTAGGCAGTCGTTCAAATCATAGGTAATGAGTAATCTCTTCCTACACAATTTAGGCTCACACAGATTTCAAACATTTAAAGATGCCAGACCTATTTGAGATCAAATGCAAAATATTAGGATTTTTCAGGATTAATAAGCATCTTCTACTTCCCAACTGCTAACTTCATGTATTGATCCACAGTGCAGGATTGATTAATGATACTTTACGTCTTGGAGCAAATGATAACTGACCAAATTCTGCTTCCTGTCCATTGATGAAAAATGTCTGTGAGGGTGACACACATTCTGCGCCATTTCATAGCTTCTCTGAGTTTATGTTCTGGTAAATCTCTCAAAGCAATAAGGAAGGAAATTGAGACTGTGCATATATTTGCTCAAGGCATTTACACAACTGGCAGTGAGGTATGCATGGGATTTCTCACCCTCATAACTCCAAACATGTCCAGAGCAACACAATGCAACAGATTGTTCAATAATCAGCATTTCCTATTGAAACTCAGTGATGCAATACTTCATTTAACTTTATCCCTTTTATTCCAGTAATCAGTGTTTGAGCTCAAATGATTTGTGCTGCCTTATGAGAGGTCAAATTCCTTCTTGCCTGGGTTTTACTCACAGGTGGGTGTTGGGAGAGGAGCTGTGTCCTTGGTGCCAGCAGCATCCATAGGCAGAGGAGACAGGAGTACCTGGGGAGTGCTGTGATCCTGGATCCTTCAGGCTCTGCCTGGACAATTCCTCTGAGGCAGCCGCTCACAGCTCACAGAGCATCTCCTGAGAATGAGGACAGAAATTATTCCATGGGTGTTGAGGACAGAAATTATTCCATGGAT